AAGATATATTCCATAAAGGGATAATCATCAATTAACTGGAAAAGTCTATTGTCTAAAGTACCCTTACAAAGAAGTGGAACATTAGTGCAACAAAACATTCAAAACAGGATTTTAAAGTTCCAATTCAAGCCAAATAAAATGAAAAGTGTGGAGATAAACTCAAACATTCAAGGTGATATTGAGAACTATTTTAATGTGTATCTGCCTTTGGTCTGAAAGCACAAGAGAGAGTTTGAGAATTTCATTTCCCTCTGATGCCTTTGAGCCTTGGAAAAGTAAAGCTGAAATCTGAAGGTTCTTGATCATGTGGATTCATCCCATTTATGTTAGAGCATAAATTATTAGGAATTATGAAGAGCATCATTAGAGTGAGATCAATGTTAAATAATAACAAGCAGTAAAGTTCTGCTTTCTTACTGCCACATTTAAAAGCATGATGTTCTCCCAGATTACAGAACCGACGTTTCTGCCCTTCCACCCCCACGTGCCCCTGACCACCCTACCCCCAGTTCACGTTGCAGGCGTGGTGGTGTCCTTGCCCTCCACTTCTTACACACACCATCAAAGCATGACCCTCACTTCTCTAAAGCTCTGCTAATCCAGTTCCCTGCTCACGGGGCACATTGCTCTTGTTTCTCCTTATTATTGATAATTCATTCCTTCAGCTAACAAGGTATGCAACCTAAAATTTCCTGGGGGCAACAGAAAGAAAAAGTAAATCAAATAAATAAAAACTGTTTTTTAAAATATGGTAAGCACTCTGAAGTAAACAAAAAAAGCCTTTAGGTAGGGATCTCAGAAAAGATAATATTTAAGCCAAGAGCTCAACAATTCAAAAAAAAATTCTGCTTTCTTTTTTCCCCCATTATGCAGTATAATTGATATAATTGACATTCTGAATGGGGCTGGCTGAGGTAATCCGTGGCTTTTGGGGGGTGCTAATGTCTCCTAAGAAGTAGGTGCTCTTGTTTCTCAGGGAATTTTGGTCATGGGCCTTAGGATTCTCTCCTGAGCTGAATCCACCTTTGCCGTCAGCTTGGTCTCGGCAAAGTCAAAGGACAGTTTGTACAATATTAATGATTCTCCACAATTCATTTTTCAGAGGCATTTTACAGGGTGCATAAAAGTAATTACAGAACCCAAGTGCTAATTAATGATTCCACTCAGCTTGTGCCCACTCTTCCCTCTTATGTTACCTGATCAGCCACAGCGCGGGCTAATTTGTCCATTCGAGAACCTGCTTCGGCAATTTTCTTGGCAGCATTAATGACATCAGATGTATTTTTCAATGGGCCTTTGCCTCTGAAACAATATGTGCAACATAATTAGAAATCCACTTAATAATAGGGAACAGACAAACCTACCATCTCCTTTGTCCAGGGCTCTGGTTTTGTATTTGATCTGGTGCTGGCCATGTTGGAATTTTGAAAGTTTTCTTGCTTCTCTCCAACTTCTATGTTAATAGCCCACTTTATTTCCATTCATTCTGAGGAATATTTTCCCATAGTTTGATGTGCATGTTCACATTTTATACTTTACATTAATTTTCATTTTTTAAAACAGTGGTCGATTGCAAAAGATGATCACCACAAAAGCAATGGAAATTAAATTTATAAGTGCTTACCATGTACCTAATGCTGCTACACATACGACTTCATTTTGTCTTCATCATAATGCTAGCAAGTAGGTATCATCATTCTCATTTTAGAAAAGAATAAATAGGCCCAAAATGATGAATTAACTTATCTAAGCATATATATACAGGTCATAAGTGAAAAATTCTAAATTTTAAGCAGAGTCTAGCCAAAATAAATGCACACGAATTGTCTTCCATCCCATGTCCAGAATATTTGTATTATTTAATTTTTAAGTCCAGTTTGGCACTT